TTTCAAATGTTATCCTCCAGAAATAGCCTTGCTGGGGGTCCAACTGTCCAAGCAAAATAGAAGAGAAGAGCACATTGTAGCAAGTAAGGATTATACTGGGGGTTCTGCTAAGATAAATACAACTGGACATAATCTCCATGAACTGGCATCCCTGTCCACATTTTATCATACAGCATCTACAGTCTCGATACTGTAAGTCATATTACTGCAGTAACCAGGCATAAACTCTCTATTAATTTTTCCCTTTTTTTTTTTTTTTTTTTGAGACAGGGTTCTCATTCTGTTGCCTGGGCTGGAGTGCAGTGGTGCGATCATAATTCACTGTAACTTCCAACTCCGAGGCTCAAGTGATCCTCCTGCCTCAGCTTCCCTAGTGGCTAGGACTATAGGCACGCTTAGCTAATTATTTTTTTTTTTTTTGAGACAGGGTTCTCATTCTGTTGCCTGGGCTGGAGTGCAGTGGTGCGATCATAATTCATTGTAACTTCCAACTCCGAGGCTCAAGTGATCCTCCTGCCTCAGCTTCCCTAGTGGCTAGGACTATAGGCACGCTTAGCTAATTATTTTTTTGGTAGAGACAGGGTCTCAATATGTTGCCCTGAGCTCAAGCAATCCTCCTGTCTCGGCATCCCAAAGTGCTGGGATTACAGGCGTGAGCCATGCTGCCTGGCCTTAACTTTTCCTTCTAAGAGAAGTTTCTGCCATACGTCTCCAGTTCAGGGACAAAAATCATGAATATGATTAAAATAATCCATTTGATTACTGTCTTATCTATTCACACACCCTTCATTTCTCTGCTCCTACAGTAAAAGTAATCAATCTGATGCTTAATTTTTTTATTCTAAAAAGATCTGTAATGTCAAATTTTGAAAAAGATAATCAGCAGTAAAAATTCTGACTGCTTTTTTTATTCATGAGCAAAATTACTGGTTGTGTGTCCAATATTCTTGTTTCCCTTGCTTAACTAAGAAAGCGCTTGCTTTTCTGCAAAGGGTCTCTGTTCACATCTAGCTTTTTCTCAGCCAAACTGAACAGCCTCCAGGAGAATGGTTGATATTGAAATTTTGTTGGGCAAAGGCTTCTAGCTCAGAGAAGTGGTACACTTGTAAGCGTGTGGAAGAACCTCTTTTTTTAGAAACACTCTGGCTTCCCACCAATCAATTCCCTCTTCTCATTGTAGATTTTCTTTAACCTATGGTCTACACTTTCCCTCTCCATACCAGCTGGATACCTTTCCAAATAAACAGATCTTCCTGTGCAGTACACTGCAGGGCTGAGCATTCTTCCGAAGGGAGGGAAAAATCTTGCTGCTTCTCATCACACAATCTGGTTGAACTCTAGGCATGGCAGCTATGCACAAGAGATGACTTTGCAGAAAATTAACACCATCACTTGCAGCTAGGATAAGACCTCTTTTTCCATGTCAATTGCTGGGAAAACCAGCAGGGCAGAGTACTGGAGAAGAGATAGGGGTTTGGACATAGGATATGGTGGTGGAAACAAAGGGAAGTCACCAAGGAACACATATAATAAGATGTTTAAGATAACCTGTTCACGTACTTATTTTGTTGGTAAAGTGTTAAATTTCAGGATTCTCGAATTTGGAAGTTTTTCTCACCAAATAAGAAAAATATTCACAATGGAAAGAAAATGTCCATTCTCTTGCAAATAAAATTGTGCCTGAAGATGAAGAGATTTTCCTCTGTTTAAAAACATATATGTATATAGACCAGGTGCAGTGGCTCACGCCTGTAATCCTAGCACTTTGGGAGGCTGAGACGGGAGGATTGCTTGAGGCCAGTTCAAGAAGTAAAAAAAAAGTAATGATTTTTTAAAAATACATATATAGATATGTATTTAAAAAGTAAAAAACTCTGTATGCCACTATAATGGTGGATACATATCATAAATTTGTCCAAAACCATATAACACCAAGAAAAAATCCTAATGTAAAATATGGGCTTTGGTTGACAGTGATGTGCCAGTGTTATCAGTTGTAACAAATGTACCACTCTGGTGGAGGATGTTGATAAGAGGGAAGCTATGGATGTGCGGGGACAGGAGGTATATGGGAAGAAAATCTCTGTACTTTCTGCTCAATTTTTTTTTGTTTTTTTTGAGACAGAGTCTCACTCTCTTGCCTGGGCTACAGTGCTGTGGCGTCATCCTAGCCCACAGCAACCTCAAACTCCTGGGCTCAAGCAATCCTACTGCCTCAGACTCCCAGTAGCTGGGACTACAGGCATGCGCCACCATGCCCGGCTGATTTTTTCTATATATTTTTAGTTGTCCGATTAATTTCTTTCTATTTTTAGTAGAGACGGGGTCTCGCTCTTGCTCAGGCTGGTTTCGAACTCCTGAGCTCAAACAATCCGCCCACCTCGGCCTCCCAGAGTGCTAGGATTACAGGTGTGAGCCACCGTGCCCGGCCAATTTTTTTTTTTTTTTTTTAAGAGACAGGGTCTCGCTCTGTTGCCTAGGTTGGAATGCAATGGTGTGATCAAAGCTCACTGTAACCTCAAACTCCAGGGCTCAAGCAATCCTCCTGCCTCAGCCTCCCAAGTAGCTAGGACTACAGGTGCGTAACACCATGCCTGGCTAACTTGCTCAATTTTGCTGTGAACCTAAAACTGCTCTAAAAAATGAAGTCCATACATCACATATGTGTGTGTGTGTGTGTGCATAAACAAACACCTATGTATATATAAATATAAAAGTAAAAATGACTGGAAGGCAATATTATATAACAAATGAAACAGTGATTACCTATCTTGGTGATGATTAAATGTAATAATTTACTGTCCTCTAAAATTTTCTACAATGTATACAAATTATTTCTGTAATAAGAAAAAAATTCAGAAGAATATGCCTGAAATCATATCATGAAATCACAGGATGTATCTACTGGTATAAATACCCAAATGCATTTGTAGTTGATTAGGGAAATGAAATTTCAGGGGATTGTTCTTTCTGCTTAGAGTACTATTAAAATTTGCTTATATGCCCTAAAATATATCACTTGAGAAGGGGGTAGTTTTTGAGTGGGTGGCATCAGAGACACAGGGAAGTATGCCTGAAATAAAACAGGTTGACCGGTCAGAAATTAACTGTATTTGATATTTATCATGTCTATATTCTTTTAGGTGTTCAAATCCAAGTTCAATGGGAAAGTGACTTCCAAGTTTGCAGCTTTGGTCATTTTCTAACGTGAGCTCTTTTTGGCTACAGGCATAATTTGCCCTTCATAAAAATAAGGCTCCATGGAGACAGTTGGGGGCACGGCCTACTTGAATGAGTGATTCATAAGTTTTCTATAGATAACACAAAGATTCTTTCCGACAATACAAGAGCCAGATATATTTGAATCCTTGTGGAAGTATACACAAGAAACAACAAGGCCAGGTGCCTTACAACGGAAAAGCCAATGAGAGTTTTGCAGTATGATTTATATCCAGAAATAGCAACACATATCACATACTGGTGAAGTTAAAGTAACAGAAAAGAATTTCCCCTCCCAGCACACAGCTTTTCATGAGTAATTTCATAGCTATATACCACTATGACTCACTCTAGAGACTCATATACTCTAGAAAGTGGCAACCAGTTATTTCAGGCACAAGCCTTCAATGACACAAAGACTGTCTCGTGAAATAAACCCTTGAATATTCAGAGTGAGGTGATCCAGTTTAGTCAATTCCTGTGAATTTATTCCTCTTCTCTCCTGTTTCCCAGCTTCTAATCATTTCACAGTTCATAAATGTCTTCACCAGAGAAAGGAAGTGAAATTCAAACTAATCGATTTAGTTCCTTGTTAGCCTTTTTGGTCAAAGAGTGTTGAAGTGGACACAAAACAAGGTTTTGGCATTTTCCAATGATTTTAATTATCCTTGTTAACCTTGTTCCCACTACTGGGTAGAGATAAAAACTAGAACTCTTTAACATATGAGAGAAAAGGATTTTAGAAGCTTTTCCCAGTCCATCTGTCAGAGAGGTCTCCCTGGGCTAATTACAAGGTCACTGAATGTTCAGGAACCATGAGGAACAATTTTTAGTCTCTGACTTTTTGGTAATCACAAAAGTATTCGGGGTACTCAAAATATAGCTACAAGGTTTCATATGTTGAAAAGTCCAGTAGTCTCTCTCAGTTATAAGTAGCTCTTGCTTGCTCTGCTCAGATATATCAGATCTTAGACACATTTGGCAGATTTGAAAGAGTGGCATTAAAGGAGCATCCTATTTGGATACACTGTATAAAACTACTGTGGACTGGTATGGTTTTGAATTTAAGTATTATGAGAAGCAGATAAAATATTTAACAACCTAGGGCAAGAAAAGCTTGATTTGTAGCATTTGCTAATTTGCTTGGTGTTAATACTCCCACCACAAGTTTGTGTTTTTTGGGGGTCGGGCGGGAAGACAGAGTCTCACTCTGTTTCCCAGGCTGAAGGGCTGGAGTGCAGTGGCCTGATTATATAGCTCCTTGTAACATTGAACTCCTGGGCTTAAGCAATCCTCTTACCTTAGCCTCTCAAGTAGTTGGGACTACAGGCACATGTTACCAGGCCTGGCTTATTTTGTGTTTGGAAAGATGGGGTCTCACCATGTTGCCCATGGCTGGTCTTGAACTCCTGACCTCAAGAGATCCTCCTGCCTCAGCTCCCAAAGTGCTGGGATTACAGGTGTGAGCCACCTGCCAGGCTCCCACCATAATAAATTTTAATCCACCAGCTTGATGTTACCAAATGAGGACTTGGGAAGAAATGAGCAATAGTACACCATTACATAACATTTCCACCATATAATAGAGGTAAATAATCTTAACAGGACAGATAATATTAAAATTGATAAAATAATTAGGAAGTAATAAGGTTTGAGTACTTACTACCTTTGTTTTTAATGTAAGTTACATTTTATTTAAATATAATAAAATTTAACAGTGCCCCCCATGACTGCATATGGGTTAGTTTCAACACATCACTTCAAGTGGCCCCACAACTTACCAAGAACACATGTTCAAATATCTGTGTGGGGCTATCCATCTGACCAAGGATCACTATCATTTCATTATCTATAAATTCCTTGAATTCCCGCAAGTTGCACACCATCTGCATTTCCAACTCTGTTCGGATCTGAAACAAAGATGACATATTTTACTAATCTCTGTACAGTCCTTCTGTACTTTCAACCATGCACCATTTTTTAGCCACACACCTACTGTTATCCCACTCCTAGCCTTGGAACAATGAGGACTCAAAAGTCTCTTACCTCTTTAGATGTAATATTCTCCAAATCCTTCTGCATCATAATCTCCCTTAATTTGGTTTTAATTAGCCTTTCTGTTCGCTCACGTTCAGTTGGTCTGAGAAGAGAGAAATGGTGATTTCTCTTAAGCAGGAATTTGACTAAGTTAATAAATGTACCATTTGATTATGTTTCCAATTTGGCAAGCCCTGCCTCTATTACCCTCAAATTTATATTGTAGAGGTATAGCAAAAGAAAATTATATTTTTAAAAGCTTATTTCCAGAATGTACAGAATATAAACATGTAGAAACTATTACTAGAAGAGGTTGTAAGTGTCTAAAAGTCCTTAAATACATTAATGTGAAGAAGCAGAGACAAATTGGGTATACTGAGTATAATACTTTAATGGAGGACCATATTCATACTTTTACCTTCAAGTACCTCTGGGTATCACTTAACGAACTAGAATATCAAGCTAGGCAGTGGTATGCCTCACTATGGAACTGGGTCTTCTCTGTAGCTTAAAATGCCACCCCTATACTGATTATTCGTTGTTGTGGTTCTAGAAAATGGGAAAATGGGAAGGGTGATCTTGCCTTCTTCATTAAGGCAAATACTCTCACACAACGGGTTGCAGGGATCAACTACCTAGAGTCCTTTCATCCAAGATGCTTTCCCTTTCATGACAACTTTCACGATATCTCTGTGAAACTCTTATCCTCACTTTACAGATAAAGGAAACAAACAGCTGAAAAGTTAAATGACATGCTGATAACCACACTGGTAAGAGAATCAGAACTCTCAGTCCAGCCTAAGACTCTACCTTCAGGATTATGTTGCTTCTCCTAGTTTTCAGATTCTCTTATAAGTAAAATTACCTATTGAACTTTAATATGAAATCCAACTAGGTAGCTGACTCTCCAGGTACTAGAAAGGTATTGGTTCAATGTAACTGAATGCTTCTCTCTAAAAACATTATTTCATATTATGCAGAATTTGAGTGAGGCTGACAGCACTTTCTATCTCATCTTTCCCTGTTACCTACTCAAGAAAGGTATCTGCTCTGTACCTCCTTATTTGGAGATGGAAATGGACTAAGCCTTCAGGCATCCTGCCCGCCCTTGCTGCCTACAGCCTTATCGCTGGCTGCAAAAATAGCTTCAGTAATCTCCAAAGATGGATGCTCTAACCCCACAACTTTGGGGCTCCCCACAAGTTGGGCTCTTAGTTTCTCATAAACCCTACAGAATATAGCTAATACCTGTGCTATTTCCCTTCAATCAGCCAAGGCATCCCCGTCTTGACTAGGATTAAAATTTTTATCCATGCTTCCTTTTCCCTAGACACAGGTAATGGTAGAAAGTAAATGTATAATTTCAGTCTTCCATTAAAAAGAAACACTGGTAAAAAAAATCTTAGCACTTGTGTGCATAGATTAGATTCCCTAGTTTCTAAGCAATCTTTCCCTCAATCCCTCACACTTATTTGAGACAGAATGATTCGGGAGCAGACAGATTTAGGTTTTAATCCCAGACCTGCTCCTTACTGGGGGTGTGACTTTGAACAAGTTTCTTCTCTTCCCTAAGCCTCTGTTTCCTTTTCTATAAAACAAGGACAGGAATAATACTTGTCTCAAGATATTCTTTTTTTTTTTTTTTTTAAGAGACAGGGTCTTGCTCTGTCACTCAGGCTGGAGTACAATGGCCCAATTACAGCCCACTGCAGCCTTGAACTCCTGGGCTCAAACAATCCTCCTTCCTCAGCCTCCCAGAGTGCTAGGACTACAGGTGTGAACCACCATGCCTGGCCTTATAAGAGTCTTAAAGTTAAATGAGATACTATGTATAAAATGCCTGGCATAGCATCTGATGTATACTGGGGGCACCATTATTCCCTTCTTTCCCCACCTTTCCTTGGATTTCAAAATATGAACTATTCATAGCCGAGCACTTAAGTCCACTGTGGCCCACATTCTCCCTATACTCTCAGCATTCTTTTATAGGCTTTTCTAGTCAACTTCAGGAGGAAGAGGGAATGGAAAAAGCGTTACAACATATAAGCACAGCTTTTCCTCTCGATTTCGCTGGAGAAAAATTTGGAAAATATATAAAAATAGAAAGAAAATGAAAATCACTGAAAATTCCTCTACCCAGAGATAATTATTAATACTCTGGCCTACAGTTTCCATGTATTCTTTTTGTATGAATAGACAGCTGTTTATTAAACATATCTTAAAATTGGAGTTATATAGCACACACTAAAAACTAACATTTAATGAGCTTCTACTGTGTGCCAGGGACTATTTTATGTTTTTTTTGCTTAGGGAAGTAGAGAGATTATGAAGAATTTTATTTTTCTGTGTGTGTATGCTTGTGTAGTTTCCAAACCTTCTCTAATAAAATCAGGAAAAATGGGAAGAATTTTCTGTCTCTCATGGAAGTCTGGTTTAAAATGTACTTTTTTGAGCTAGATGAGACATCCATTCCTCTGAAACACTTCAATCAGTTGTAAAGCATGAAGTCACCAATAAAATTTCCCATGAATCCTTATCACTTTAGTTGCTTTGAGATCTTGAAAGGAGCAGGGCTACTGAAAAGGAGGTCTTAACACCAATAACACCATATTCAAAGAAGATTCCACTGCTTTCTTGATTGTCCCTTTCACATAATTCTTGGAAATTTCACCTTTCCTTGTAAAAAGCATTTATTAGATTATTATCTAAATTACACCTTTAACACATTTAACTGCCATGTGAGTTGTATTTAATTCACACTAGTTTTGAGCCTGGGGCCTCATGAAGCATATGTAACTACAGTTGGTTCGTGAAAATCTTAACTTGTTGATGTTCTTATTATTACAATTAATATCGACAATTTAATTACATATAACTCACACACAAAAAATAAAAATAACAAATTTTTCATTAAATTAGAAAGGATCCTTTTGTTTTTGAAGTTTCTTTCTATTTTTGTAATAAAACCCTGTGGCCCCAAGGAGAAAAAAAATTTTTTTCCAGTGTGGCAGGCAATGTGTTAAAAAAAAAAAAAAATCATGAAATGTTTTGGCACGACTTTAGGAATCAGAGGGAGAATCCTATTTGTAAGGTCAGATAGTAAGTAGCTACTCTTCTTTCCTGGTTGTAGAATACCTTGGAATGAAGAAAGACCAACTCAGAGCAAAATAAACCTCCTGATTAATTGCCAAAGCAAGAACTAAGTGTAAAAAAATTTCCAAAATAGTCACAAAAGTTTTAATGCATAGACCAAAAAGGAAATCAACATCAACTCCACACCTTAGGCCTTTATCCAACTCATAGTACACTAGGGAGATTAAATAAAATCTTATTGACAAGGATTTTATAAGACAAAGGATAGAGCAGAATAAGATACCCGAATGAAAAAATATTTAAAAAAATTTTTTTTAAACTTTAAAAGTAGCTTGACAACGTAGGCATTCTTTTAAATTAACTGGAAGCATCTTGTTTCCTTAAGTATTATAAACATCCCTCTAAAAGCTTCTCTATGTCATTAATTCGCTTACCAAATGCTTCTTTCACAAATAATGCAAATTCAGCCTAACTCCTTTAAACTCAACTTTCAAACTAGTGGAATCTGAATAATGGAATTTTATGGTATTGCATTTCTTTTTTTTTAATTTTCTTAATTTCTTTCTTTCTTTTTTGTCTTACTTTTTTTTTCTTTTTCTTTTCTTTTTTATTTTCGTATTGCATTTCTTGACTATGAAAACTCTATTGTGCCCAGGAGTGAAACTCCTCAGGCCTTTGCAGGCAACAGAAAGAACAGGATTTTTTATCTGTGGCAGGTATGTTGTGTAGACAATGACTAACATCACTAGGTAAGATTAATTTCCCAAGAGAAGAGATTAGGTGGTAACATGCTTCCTATGACTCCCTAGGACACAATAGAGAGCACTTCCATAATCCTTAGGAAACTGACTTACATGTCGGTGAAGAGAGTTGGTGAGTCGGGCCGATGGGACTGCACATCCTGCATAGCATTCCATTCATTGACTGAGGATTGATCTGAGTTGATATGGCTCTCATAATAACTCACCCAGGTGAGAAAGAGGCTGCCTGGGTAGTAGTTATGCATTCTGGCCACTTCGCAAGCCTTGTGTAAACTCTGTAGGGCAGACCTGAAAGATATGCTGGGAAATGAGCACCGTAGCACTGTGGGGTACCAAAAGGCCAATAATCCATGTGTATCCCAAACTCTTCTAGTTTTTAAATTCTCTAGAATTGACCTCTAGAAAATCTACACCTTGAAATTCAAGATTCTCCAATCTGATTATACCAGCAATAGACTAGACATTTGCTGAAAGATACGATGCAGAAGGGAGGGAAGGAGAGGAAGGAGAACCGACAACCCACCAGTAGAAAAAAAAATAGGTTCGGGTACCTATGGAGCTCATGATCCTATAGTTGTGGTGGCTGTGTTTTATCATTAGAAAACTAAAGATCTCCATAATTTACTAGATTAAGATTTCCTTCCCTTAGCACAGAATCATGTTACAGCACACATTCTCTATAACTTTTAGAGGGTCCACAAAAATCACATAGATAGATGTCCTTAAACCTTGAGGGCATGTCCTTTAATGTGCAGGAAGTACTGATCTAATGAAGTTTTCCATTCTTGCTGCCTTAGCCGCCTAGTCTCTTTAAACCATTTATTCCTATGCATCAGCTACTTTCTAAGAACAGCTCTGGTTATTCTGAGACTAATTAAACCTTTGACTCTGAACTCAGGAACCCAAGAAGGGTAAAAAGAACTGAAAAGTATCTTTTTGGTTATATACCTGGAAAAGCTTAAACCAGAAATGCTAGGAAGTAAGTTATACAAGTGCAAGGACCTTTCTATGTTTTGTTTACTGATGTATCTCAAGTACCTAAAAGAATCCTATAGTTGGAGCTCAATTAGTGCTTGGTGAGTGAAATGTCTTATTAGCTATAAACTAACGTCTTTCTCCTAAGAGAAACAGATAGCATGAGGGAATTCTATGGTTAATTCATCTATATCTTTTTCTTAAAAATGCCCTTTTAAAAAATTTTCCCTTATAATAAAAGTGATCCATGCCCACATTAGAAAATTAGGGACCTCAGAAAAAAGGCAGAAATATCTATTGTTAAAGTTTTAGTATAATATAGTATAGGTCTTTCCACCAGTCATTTTGCCTATGAACAGATTTTTCTTTTTTTTTTTTAGAGACAAGGTCTTGCTCTCTCACCCAGGATGGAGTGCAGTGGCCTGATCTAACTCACTGTAACCTCAATCTCCTGTACTCAAGTAACCCCAGCCTCCCAAGTAGCTGGGACTACTAGCGCACCCCACCATGCCTGGCTAAATTTTTTTTTTTTTGTAGAGTTGGAGTCTTGTCATGTTGCCCAGGCTTGTCTCAAACTCCTAGCCTCAAGCGATCCTCCTACCTCGGCCTCTCAAAGTACTGGGAATGCATAGCTCTTTAATAAACAAAGATATGACCATATTCTGGTATACCATTTATAGTATATTCTTTTATAATACTTTACAGCCCGTCACCAACATCTTTCCATGTCAATATTCAACTAGATCATTTTTAATTGTTGTATAATATTCAATAACAGATATATCATAATTTAACTAATTCCTATTTTTCAGACAGTTAAATTGTTTTTCATTTTTTGCTATTATTAGAACACTCATAAAATTCTTATAGCTAAAATCTTTGCATACACTCATGGTTATAACCTTAGGGTAAATTCTTAGGAGAATACTAGGTCGAAGGCCATGGAAAATGATAAGGCATATTGGCAAATCACTCTCCAGAAAGGTTGCTCGCTCCAGTTCATTCTTCCATCAATAGTACAAGGCAGTGTCTGTTCTTCGAATCCTTGTCAATCTCATATAATAATTTAAATTTAAATTTAATAATGTAAATAAAATTTTTTTTTTTGCTAATTTAATAAGGGAAAACTGTGCCAGTCCATTTTTATTAGGAAAACAGATTTTTCCTTAAAACAAACTTGCAGAATCTTTTAAAAATTCCTGGGGCTGGGGGAGGAAAAAAAGAAGAAAAAAAGAAATAAAGCTTTCTATTATTTAAACCAAATTCACAGAGAAAATTTCAATAACAATATACAGATTCAAAAGTAAGGGCCAGCTTAGTGTAATGTACAGGATACTCAAGGCATGTTTTCTTCATCTAGGAAACACATGCTTCAAAAGCATATGCCATAGAGCCTGACACAACTACCCTAAAATACTCACAGCCTAGTCACCCTCACATAGTTCAGGTGCACAGGAGTGGGAGGCTGCAATAACTATCTTCCTGTGAAGGAAACACCTGGTCTAAATGCTGCTTTGATCCATATATCATCTATTTTTTTTCCTGTGGCTTTTCAATTCACTACTCCCCAGGAGGTACACCAAAAAAGTTTATTCTGTGATAAGTTAACAGAGCTAGGGCTAGTCAGTTTACTTTAGAACATCAAAGCTTGATCTAAAGTTATTACTTGAATTAAGATTGCCTTGTACTTCTCCCCAAAATATACCTGAAAACACTGTCGTTTATGGTACTTACTGCTGTTTGGTTTTACTCGATACTTGGTAATAGATAAGTCAGTTGCCTTTAACGGAGCCTTAGGTAATGAAGGTCATAAGTTCTTCCATGAGAAATCTACCTGTAAAATATGCCCTAAATCTAAAAATCTAGTCTAAACACATGACCTGAAACTCTGTCCTGCCTCAGTTACTGCTGGAAACCATAAGACTGTTAATTGTTCAGTGAGTCCTCAGACTCCACCACCTCAATCCTATTAATTCTGTTATTCGGGAGTAGATTATCTCCCTGGAGTCCTTTTTAGGCTCTTTTATGTCTTATTTTGCTTGCCATCTGTCCATTCCACTCCTGAAGGGCACTTCTACAGAACAGGCAGCTGAATAAGAAACTGAAATTCAAATCCTTCACCTGTGGATGGATTCTGAATCATAGTCACATAATTCCCTGGTTATATTAGATCATTTTCTATATAATCTGGAACAAGAGAGTAACAGTCTAAATATAAGAAATATTCTCAGACCAGTTATGTAACCTCTCCAAGCCTCAATTTTCTCATTCATCATAAGGGGTTTAATAACACTATTTTGAGGGGGGCTTGGTGTGATGATTAAATCCAGGTAAAGCACCTGGCACAATGCCTGGCACAAAGTAAATAACCCAAAAGTGTCATATACCGCTGACGGTTATTAACAACCACAGTATTTTCTCTAGGCTTTATTTGCATTATGCAAATAGCTACCAGCAGTTTAAATGGAAATTTATCTATCTATAAAGTAACTGTCAATACTATCCCTGATTGCCCTAAGAAATTTAAAGCCTGAGCACAAGTAAAACCCCAACTCTACAAAAAAAAAAAAAAAAAAAAAAAAAAACAATTAAAAAAAAAAAAAAAAAATTAGCCAGGCATGGTGGCACATCCCTATAGTCCAAGCTATGGGGTAGGCTGAGGCAGGAAGATCACTTGAGTCCAAAAATTTGAGGTTGCAGTGAGCTAGGCTGATGCCACTGCACTCTAACCTGGGTGACAAAGTGAGACCCTGTCTTAAAAAAAAAAAAAAGAAACGACAAAAAAATGTGTCCTATAAAACTCTGTTTCAACCAACTATCTGATCCATTAAGTCTCTTCCAGAGCCTAAGAATATTTCCGAATTTTACTTGTTCACTAATGCTGATGGCCTTCTACTGTAACAATCTGAATATTGTACTTCTAGATCATCTTTAACTATGAGGGCTACATGAACAGATCACACAATTTTATACACAAACAGATCATACAACAGCATTTTCTTAGTGAATTACACCATTTCAAATATTTCTCACAAAGTATTGCTTCATTAAACAACTTTTCTAGAGATATCAAAAGTCATCTTACCACATTGCCTGCACAGATACAGGTTTGAATATGTGAACTCTGTTATCTGTTGATACGCTGAACCCACTAAAGACAAAAAGAGAACAAGACAAAAATCCACAAATGAGGGGAAGTTATTTCAGTTGTGAGTTTCAAAGGATGTTTCTCAGACTAGCAACAGCTGGCTCAGTAGAAGGAATCATCAGGCACTTCGTGTAGAAGTTAACTAGAGCATAAGACTTAACTGAAAAGCTTCAACAAATTGTCTGATTTTATATACCAGGTGAAATGAATGAACTCCCACACTGGAGTTAGGGAATTAAATGCAATTTCCTAGCAGCAGTTTTGGACAAGCTGTTCTGTATATTTCTATTTGGAAGTTTTGTGGGTTCTTAGTAAACCTGACCCTGGTTTTATAAACTGGAGCAAACGTCTTGGTCTCTTGGGGACACATTCTAAAAACATCAGGAGGTGGGGGTGGGGAGTCACTGGAAGGAACTGGCACAGGAAAGGAGTTATACTGTAGGCTGACAGCTGGCAGTGGCGGCAAGAGGTTATTTGAAACAGGACATATCATCCTTTGGGAAAGCATTGCAACAGTCCCACATGCTCAGATTAAAGAGTGAGCCAACAAATTAGTTCTTCTTTGTCTGGATTCCTAACATAGCCTAGAAGAACAGAAGTGAGAGACTCTGGCAAGTTGTATTTTCACTCTACTTTACAAAACAGAAGTTTAAAAGGACTCACTGGGCTGCTAACATGATAGTTCAGTTGGGCACACTGGACCTCCCTTTCAGCTGAATCAATGGGCACTAAGATAGAACCCCACCCCCTGGCTTTCTGTAGGAGAATAAAAAGGAAAAGCTCTTACCCATCGCCATCCAAATGAATTAGGGTATCACTCCAGAGAGGCAGAACTAAGCCCATGGTACAAGTGCTACTGCAAGACAAGAAATTGTCCATAAATTACTTCCTGTTATTCTGGGAAGCAGTCTTTTGCTTATTAACTCTTTCAACACAAAGAATAAATCCCTAAGCTCTAACATAAATGTTATAGTGGGAAAAATTTTCATCTTATTACTATTAATCCCATGTATGTCCCCAAGAGCTGCTTTAAAGAGATGGTTAGTCAGTTCCTTATATATTTACCAAAGAAAACTTATTGATCACTCAAGACTGCTGCCCCCATGAAGATGACTGGGGGTGTGTGCCAGAGAGAAAGGGTAGCACAATGGTCTGACATGGTCTAGCGTTGGACCATGTGAAAGTTTCTACAATTGTGCAGCTGGATGATGGGGAGTGGGGCTCGTGGTGTGTAGAGGGAACAATAGCATCCTTTCCCAGGCTGACCTTGGCTCCTCCCCACCCTCTGGACTAAAATGGGGAATACACTGGGCCTGATACTGATGGGGACTTTGCCTCTGCCCAACCTTGGAAGCTTTGATGAGCTGTATCGGCTATGCAAAGATGTATTCCCAGTACAGATGGAGGGAGTGAAGCCGTCTGTTAACAAGGTTCTGAGCAGCCACTTCCAGGTGGCTCACACTGTACATGAGTGCAGTGGGCTGGCCAGGCTATCACCTCCACCTGGCCTATGCAGGGGACTGGCAGCTTAGCGCCACTGAAGTGTTCCCACTGTGGTAGGCAATATGGACAGCAGGGGCAGCCTTAATGCCCAGGTTCTACTCCTCTTGGCAGAGCAGCTCCGAGCTAAGGCTGTCTTCCAGATGTAGCAGGCCAACTTCCTGACATGGCAGTTTCATGGAGAGTATCACAGAGATGACTACACAGCCATTCTGACCCTAGGAAATCCTGACCTGATTAGGGAATTGGTGATGACGGTCGCTTATTTCCTCGTCGGCTAGTGCTGAGAGGAGAGCCAGTTTATCACTGGTGGCTGGGTGAACAGGGTGGTCATTTTGGCAGTGGCTGGGAAATACTTGGCTGTACACTGGGTAGCTGCATTGAATGTGAGATCAGGCAGAGGCCATGCGAGTGATTAGCACAGGGCAAATGAGCAGGTTCAAGTTGGAGCGGAGTTTGAAGCAAACACAAGGCTACAAGACATAACCTTCTCTTTGGTTACCACCTGACTTTGCTCTAGGCCAACATGGTGTTTAGAGGCTTGGTGGATAACCGGTGTGTAGGTGCTATGCTGGAGAAGAAGATGATCCCCCTGCCTGTCACCTAGCTCTTGGAGTTTTCTTTAATCACTGGTGCAACAGATTCCACTGTGACTTCAGCATCACTGTGGACTGAGGTTGTCCCAGAGCCAGTCCCCATAGCAGCTGGAACCTCTGAGTCAGGTGCCCTAGGGTCAGAGACTAGGCCCTTCTCCAGAGCCCACCTTGCTGGGTGACCTCTAGGTCCCAGAAGCAGAGAGGGGGACAGGACCATGCCTTCTTTAGAACTGGAGCTGCCACAGGGACAGCTGATGAGGCAGTAGTTTGAGGCTCCAAACTCTACCACCAGCTCCACTATCATCTTCCCCTCTGTGGCTCTGGACTAGGGGAAGAGGATTAAAGAGTATGTTTAGCTGAATTTCTCTTTTGTCCCACTTCTTTCTTGATTTATCTTTGGTTAATCCTGCATGGGATTATTAGTTTACTACCTTGTTTTCCATCCCAGAGCCTCCCAAGGCTGGGAAAGTAGAGCTGAAGGGCTAAATCTCTGGCCTCAGAAAGCGGGGTCCACTTATTCCCAGAAGGAGCTTCTTCACCTCTTAGCTCTGAGGCTCCCTCCTTCTGCATCTTCTGTGCTTCCACAAAACAACTTTATTCTCATGGTCACCCCTGCTACCCCCATGACTGTAAGAAGAGGCAGTTATTGCTTTAGTCTTTCATCACAACCACTGGGCTCCCTTCTATTGGGCCCAATCTATGGTCGCAGCATTTTTCTCTCTCGGGTCCTGTGTGTGTCAGGTGAGCTAGGGAAGGGGGCGAGCCTGGGCCTCAGCTGCAGATCTCCTGGAGCAGGAGCATCATGGCAAGCAATCCCTGGATGCACTGGATTTGGTACCCGAATGCTTTGTTAATGCTCTGGAGCTCAGCTAACAGGCCCAGCAGCTTTGTGTACAGAAACTTTTGAAGTAGTGGGGTTGCCAGGAAAACAGGAGGGGGAAAAAGGCAGCTGGGAGTCTTGCCTTGAGGCCCTGATCCCCTACCTGTCCCTCAGTGAAACTAGGTCTGAACATTAGAGACAATCATGCTCTAGTATGACAAGTTTATCAAAGGTCCCAAAGGACCCCCGGGAGGTCTCTGTCTCACACTGTCTTCTTTTATCATGCCCAGTTTTTCCTGAACCCAGAGCTCTAACAGCCAAGTGTGAAGAAAGCTCCAGACTTAGCCAGATAACTTCAACTATATGGAATCTGAGGGTCTGGCCTTCTAGAACAGGTTGTAGAAGGTGGGTATGTTCTATGATATAAAGCATCCCCTTTCTGGCCAAACTGACTCATAAAGAAGTGGTGCATACCTCAAAGCCTGGAAAGGTCATGGACTATTGAATCAGGAACTGGCTTTGGCCATGAAATTGTAAATGACCATAACTTCAAGGGAAATGAAAAATTGAAGGAACTGGCCCAATGGAGAGGGCGATGAAGGGCCACAGGACAAGACTGAACAAGATTCTTAAAAATCTGTTTAGTCTGGAGAAGGTGGACTGACGAGGTGATGGATGTCATCGATCTCAGGAATGAGATTATACAAAGCCTGTGAGCTACTACTTTGCATCTCTACTGAATAAAAAATCTGGAAAAAGTGAGATTGAAGAAAAAGAAAGAAAACTTATTGACTGAGCTTCCTACACTGCCATCTTGGTTGTCATCTCCCAAATGGCCACCATCTAAAAAATCCAGGCAATTGCCGCTGACTTGCATTTGGCAGGTCTCAGCCCAGGATATAGCACCCAATTCAACTCCAAGAATTAATTCTAATGCCAAGAACTATTGCTGGTTGCTGAAGAGCTTGGAATGTGTGATTCGCTCAATTCTAATTCTGAGGTTTACAAAGATTTATTAAATACCAGAACACACTCAATAGTCTAAAAGGGAAAGGGAATAAAAAAATGTAAAGAAGTAATTGTTAGCAGCTTGTGATCAGAGAGACAAAATAGACACAATACAACCTAAATAAGTAAAACAGCCCTTGATGATCACGCACTGAACTAGCATTGCTGAAATGTAGAGTTAATAGGAATATCAACAACGAAAAAAAAGGGTAGCCCTAGTACTAAAATATTATTTCAATCACACACTAGCCCAGGAAGGAAATTGGCTTTGAGTTAACAGAACAGGATGGTGTAGGAAGCCACAGACTCCTGACAGATCATGTGTGCTATACAATATTTCTATGAACAATTGTAATCTACCTCAGATCATTGCCCCTTTCTCTCCTTAAGGCTGCCTGTTTTTTAAAAACCCTCTGGCCAGTCTCCCAAAAGCTCCTATACCTGCTCCATGCCAATGCATCTAGAAAGGCAGCACAGTGTTGTGGAAAGAACCTTGCACAAAGAAGGTGGAACAGTGCAGTGTGGTTAAGAACGTGGGCTCTGGAGTCAGATGGGCTCCAGAACCTGGGTTCTGGCACTAACTGTAGGATCTTAGGCAAATTACTTAATTGCTTTGTACCCTAGTTTCTCCATCTGTAAAACTGGGATAAAAATATCTTCTTTGGTGCATTGTTTTGAAGATTAAATTAAGTAACACAAAAAAGTGTATAACAGTGCCCAAAATATAACAGTAATTACCATTATTGAGGATGGACTATGCCAAAAGATCTGGCTGGGTTTGATCTCTTTCAGTATTACAGCTTCTTTTGACAAGTTATTTAACCTCTCCCTGTCTGAATTTCTTCATCTTGTAATACAGATAACAAAACCTACCCTCACAGGGTTATTATAAAGACTTAAAATATTCAAAGTAAAACAATATATGTGAACGCATTGTCCTATAAAACAAACGTTGAATATGAATCTGTAGTGGATGCTCTAATACCTCTCTGACAGTGAATTGGGGGACGGGAGGAACACTATGCAAATGATTTGGAAACAACATGAGGAATACTAAGCTTTAACTGCTGGAGTCACTGCAGGGCTCAAGAAGGCCAGCCCTTAGTTAGGCTTTCCACTATACTTGCTGGCCTGGGCTACTCAATACCGTCCTAGTGATTTCAGAGTTCAGGAGATTCAAATCAAGACTGGAACATCTTATTCACATTGGAACCCTGGGACCCAAACACAAGAGGCACAGCTAATTTGCCAGAGTCCAAGAGCAAGAGCAAGCAAGACAGCTTCATCACAAGTCTTGTTGAGCAGATGAAGTGAGTGCACAAAAAACTTGTTTTGAAAATGGCTTCCCATGGTGAAGTAGGGTTATTTTTAGAGTAGCTTTTTGTTTTGTATTTAGTCAGTGCTTAGCCAGGTTCCTAGCAACAAGTATAAGTTGGAGTATAAATATGAAGGATTGATAGCCTAGTAACAAATCTAGAAATTAAATAACTATAGAAGAAGATACAGATGCTCCAAAAGAGTGTAATCTATGAGCTTATGACCAGATGCTAGTTAACCTTTGGACAAGTGATATTGATATATAGGAACCAACATCACATTTTCAGCTTGTATTCAGATCAGAATTTTTTTTTTTACATTAACAAGTAGCTTTTTCACAAAACAGGAAGTAGAGGCCTTAATTAGGCATACCTAGTATTTTTATTCAGTTTACCTGTCTCATGAGATTTTTCTCCATTAAAGTACAGCTACTTATTTTAGTAAATATTCAACTCATTCAACAAATATTTATTTAGTGCCTACTATGTATTAGACATTTCAAGGTGTTGGGGGTACAAAAAGAAATTAAAAAATAAAATGAAACCATGAAGCTCTATTATTTTATAACTCAAAATATATCCAATGCATTTTAGAAACAAAAGTAATACTGTTTATTAAAAAATGTATTACTTAAAATATAACACAATACTGGAAGAACTTGTAAATAGTCTCAATGAATTGGCTGTAACATATCTTAAAAACTACTTTGTACTTGTTATAAACAATCTTGGTTCCACTTTGGCTTAATACTGTTATGAAACATTTAATATTTTCAGATACAAAATAATACAAATTCCTTCAACAGCAACTGAGATAGAAGTATTAGATTATCTGAGCACCGGTATTCTAAAGTGGGCAGCATTTCTCTTACTGTCCAAGGGGCTCAATTCAAGCAGTGGATGTATGGGAATTCCATAATATCAAGTTTACCAATCAGAATGAAAACTAGTTTCTAGCTTTTCATGTCCCACTTTGCCTTCCATAAACTAAAATTTCCTTTGGTTAGTGGCACTTATCAGATATGATTCAGGCAGGAGTATTACAAAAGATAGATGCAGTTCACTGAGGATATATTACTGGACACCCATATTAACAAGCATTTTTTTCTGGTAAAGTTTAGGACAAAGGAAAAGAGATAAGATTAGACATCCGATTGCTTACACTCTGGGTTAGGAGAACTACAGTTATTGTCCTCTGTCTCTAGGGGAAGATTCAGTTGAAGTTTCCATACAACCCCAGTTCCTGTTTTATAGGGTTTTCAAGGGAGGGGTCAGGGAGAACTGAACAAACGAAATATGAGCTAAAGCAGTGCTGTCCAACTCAACTTTCTGCAATAATGGAAATGGTCTATACATGTATTGCCCAGTATGGTAGCCACTAGCCACATATAGCTGTTGAGTACTTGATATGTGGCTACATATGACTGAGGAAACTGAAATTTTAATTTTATTTAACTTCAATTTATTTAAATAGCCACATACAGTTAGTGGCTACCATACTGGACAGTACAGACCTAGAGAAATAAAAACCCAAATAAGGTGTGGTGGCTCACACCTGCAATCCTAGCACCTTGGGAGGCAGAGGTGGGATGATCACTTGAGGCCAGGAGTTTGAGACCAGCCTGGACAACATAGTGAGACCCTACAAAAAATATAAAAAATTAGCTGGGCCTGGTGGCTCAGTCCCAGCTGCTTGAGAGGCTGGGGGTGGTGGGGTGGGGGTTGGTGCGGGTGGGAAGATCGATACTGTACTCTAGCTCAGGAAACAGAGCAAGAGCTTGTCTCAAAAAAAAAAAAAAAAACCCCAAACAACAAAAAACAAACCCAAAGCGCAAATTAGAGGCCCTAAAATCCTAATCGATGTAGACAAGGTAGGTCCTCTTATACGAAAATGCTTACTGTTGTTTAGGTAACACCAAGAGTTAAAACTATGCAGGTGAAAGCTTCCTAAATGTGGTTTAGGAGCCTGTATAAATTCAAAACATATAATTAAACGCTGCAAGTGGTATGCAAGCAAACAATTGTGGCCTTGTGATCCCAGTGAGCCTGCAAGTCATTTTCAGGTTGACTTCTACATAACACTAGTTTGGGAAACTTTCTAGTGACAATGTGATTTTTTTCCCCCAATATCAGGACAATTAGAATCACTCCCAAGCTCCTCCTCTCTTTGTGGCTAAATTCCCCCAGGCCTGGGTCACACCCCTAACTACTTAACAGTTCCATTCTAGTCCTGAACCAGGAAGTCAATGCTTTGAGACATCTGGCAGGATTTCCTGAGGCTTATTATCTAGAGTGTAAAGATCTGCTTAGCAGCCACATTCCACAGTCTTCCCAAGGTTTCTGCAAAAAAAGTGGGAAAATAAAAAAGGAAAGCAACAAACCTTAAGGACACAAAAAAAGCCAGGTTGTGTGTGATGAATGATATCTTTAATCACACACTGTAAAGTACAGCTAAAACCAAAGGTACAAGATTAAAAAGGTTCTGCTTAGAGTTTAAGAATCCCCCTTATCCCCCTTTTAACTTAGAAGGAAAAAGGAGGCATAAGATTTGGTAAAAGTAAGGTTTAAAGCCATAGATAAATATAAGAGACTGGAGTTCAAGTGGGATGTCTTTGAACCCAGGACCACTGGTGAATTACCATAAAGGGCAGGTGCCCTAGAATCACCGAAGTGAATTGTTACTGTTTTTAAAATAGAGTAGACTGCTAAGAAAACGCAGTTTTTCTGGAGATACAAGTTTAAATCATTTGCTTTATATCATTACTATCTAAAGATGAAAGGAAAGTAAAGAATAGTGGTAAATTAGGAAGACATAACTAGAATAGTGGTAAATTAGGAACAAAGAACCAAACACATTCACTGAACATGCTTGTTTCTCAAGACTGTTGAAAGAGTAGCTAATATACTTTTATGTTCTCTCATCTTATGCCTTGAACTTTAAGAGCAGAACTGCAAAAAAAATGTTTTTGTTATAACTCAAAAGACAACAGGGATAGGTTATTTAAAAAAGAGTTTTCACATTTCTCCTTTTCTGTAGTACCATACCTGTCATTAGAGGAAAAATCCATTCCTAGGACGATGCTTTCTTCAGTGTCTTGTCTACCATTAGTTGAAACCACTACCATATAGCGTGTTCGATTCTGGTAAGTACTTTCCAGTCTTACAGCCTGGAGGTTAACAGACGACAGAGAAATTAAGAAATTTAGAAGGTTTATTTTAGATTGTTCAACCCTTTTTCCTTAGCATCTTAAAGCATACACAGGAAGGCAGCAGAGCCAGTAGTCAGGAGACATAAATTCAAACCCCAGCTCATACACTAACTATAAAACCTTTGGTAAGTTACTAAATTAATTGGAGGGAGATATAATACCTGCACATCAGGTCGTTTTAAGAGTCTTAAAATTTATACACATAAAGCACAGTGCTTGGCATACAATAAATGCTCAATAAATATTTGCTATTAGCATAATTTATTACCAGAGCATGTTTTAAAGACAGAATAGGGGAATGTGAGGTATATGAATGTGAGCATTGGTCTCAAAGATACAATTCCCACAAACAATTATAATATGAAACAAACTATTAGCATCATCTAAGGAGAATATTAGCTATGCTCTATTGAATTCCTGCACATTTATATACTATAAGATTTTCTTTAGTTTAATGATAATTAAAGAAGACTGCTTTTTCAGAGGCTTCTCATTTTTTTTTTGTCAAAAAGTTTTAATTTATTGCTTATTTATAAGGGCCTTATTTATAAAGGACCTTCAGAAAATTTGAATATGGACAGGGTCCTAGATGAAACTAAGCATTTACTGTTAAGTGTGATAATGGCATTGTGGTTACTGTGCCTTTTTCTTAAGTATCTAGAGTGAAATGACATGATGCCTGAGTTTTCCTTTAAAATGTAGACATTTCTATCTGGAATTTTTTTCAGTGTCTCCAAGAAGGAGTCTCCTTCCCCTTAACTCTATCACTATTTCAAAATGACCAGGCAAAGAGAAAAAGGGGCACAGTTATACAGCTCAAATGACCCATTTAGCAAGGCAGAAGTGAGACTCTCATATCTTTTTGTCTCTACTCTCATACTCCTAGGAAAAACTTAGAGAAGCACAAACAGAAGTGGTTACATTAAAGCTTGTCTCTAATAAGAGCTGATACAACAAGAATGTAATGCTCACCATTCTGATGCCAAGTGCACAAGATAAAGAGCTGTACTGCTGACTTTATGTTCCATAAAGTAACAGAGAATTTAAAACCAAATTCACTTATGAGAAGCTAAGGGAACTAACATTTAAATGAACTAAGTTCTAGAGGACTGGGATCAAGGGAGAAGCATTACGCATACAGAACTATGGATAGTAGTAAATGCACATGAGGTGGACTGGGAGGGAGTACTGACTCTTTCCTCGATTGTACAAATACTCTACAATGTGTTAAATTAACCAGAAAACCTGGGACAGGTAAACTAGAATTTCTTATAAACAAGATCTCAGATATTATTACATATTTAAACTTGGACTTGCCTTGGCCCAAGTTCCCTAAATGTGTTAAGAGTCTCTTTCATCCTTTGTCAAGGCTCTGAGAATTTCTGGCATGGCTCAAATACAAATGGCATGGGAACAAATGAACTGCGCTTCTGACAATTTATCTACAGCTCCTACACCAACTAGTAGCAACTGATAGGCTAAGTCGAAGCTGATAAAAGGAAAAATATATCCTCCATAAATACTACCTATAAGGCAAGTTATCAGGCCAAGTTAGAAGTGGGCAGCAACAGTTTCTTTTTAAGTGATATTCAGCACAAACATTAGTTGTCTCTTTTTAAAAAGTAATGTTTATTTATTTATAATATCAAGAGCATTTCAAATGTTTGGCTCTCCCTTGTTTAATCTAATTATGAAAGAAGATCCCAAACCTAATGGGAAAGGCCCCAGCTATCTCACACTGATTTGGGCTTGAATAACAGGCACATTTCAGAGTCATTCAATTTTAAACTTCCTAGATGGAAGAACAGCACTTAGAGTTCTTGAGATTTGATCATAGGCCACTAGATAGTACCCACAGTAGTTCATAAATTCTTATTAAAGGGAAGTGGAGCTTTAATCAGGGGGTCAGGAGCCAAGACATTAATTCAATTTCTATATCCTATTAGAAGGATAAGATAAAATCTTTAAAGAAAAAATTCTGAAATGTCAGAGTATAGACCTGAGGCTTTAAAGTTCCTTTTAAGCTTCAAGATTCTAGGTTAAAGAATTAAAATCTGGCCGGGTGCGGTGGCTCACGCCTGTAATCCTAGCACTCTAGGAGGCCGAGGCGGGTGGATTGTTTGAGCTCAGGAGTTCGAAACCAGCCTGAGCAAGAGCGAGATCCCGTCTTCTACTAAAAATAGAAAATAAATTAATCGGCCACCTAAAAATATATAGAAAAAATTAGCCGGGCATGGTGGCGCATTCCTGTAGTCCCAGCTACTCGGGAGGCTGAGGTAGAAGGATTGCTTGAGCCCAGGAGTGTGAGGTTGCTGTGAGCTAGGCTGACGCCATGGCACTCACTCTAGCCCAGGCAAAAGAGTGAGACTCTTGTCTCAAAAAAAAAAAAATTAAAATCTATGAGCCACAAAGATGAAGAAAAATCTAATACTCGCCCTTGTTTGAGGTTTATTTTATATTCCTCTGTTGGGGAGAAGATTAGTAAAATCCAATAATCTAATTTGTCAAGCCAATCAGAGAAATGCCATTTAAAATGGCAGTTTGTATATAATACCCTGATACTGAAAATGACAGCATTTCCAACGTTTTCTCAGTCTCCAGAGCTTACATGGAATAAATGACTGGAGTAAGACAATAACTGAAATGCATTTCATTAATCAACTAAATTTCTCATTGAAAAGGGCACTACTTAAGTCCATGCTTTTTTTTTTTCCTTTTTGAGACAGTCTTGCTCTGTTGTCCGGGCTAGAGTGCCGTGGCATCAGCCTAGCTCACAGCAAACTCAAATTCCTGGGTTCAAGTGATCCTTCCGCCTCAGCCTTCCGAGTAGCTGGGACTACAGGTGTGCACCACCAAACCCAGCTAATTTTTTCCATTTTTAATAGAGACGGGGTCTTGCTCTTGATCAGGCTGGTCTGGAATTCCTGACCTCAAGCAATCCTCCCACCTCAGCCTCCCAGTGTGCTAGGATTACAGGTGTGAGCCACTGTGCCTGGTCTGAAGTCCATTCTAATTGTCCAAATAAAACCACATTCCAGATTTTAAAACTTGGCAACAAGAGCAACTGAGATAATTATTCCAAAAAACTACATTTATTGTCTCAATTTGGAATCCTATTACAAGTTTCAGGTGAACTGGATCCAGCAATCTTAGGACTGAAGTAGGTCTGAGAAGTCATCTCCTGCCTCTGCTTTATTCCTGAAAAAACTCAACCCTGTTTTCAAAGATCATCTATCAAACAATAACGTTAAAAACTTCCCTTAGTATCTAATTTAAATATTTAACCTAATTACAAGCAGTTCGCGAACACTGCCTGATACAAGAGCTTCTCTCCTTAGCATCACATGATATCACGAAATACTCCTCCTTTAGTTTACACTGTACTTTTGCCTTTAATTTCTTTTCACCAAGAGTGAAAAGAAATCATGCCCCTGCATGCAATGTTTATCCTCAGGGAAGCCACGTTATAAAGACCCAAAGTCTAGACAGGCAGCTCACCCAATCTATCAGAGGGAAAGGTTTCAAAAGTATGTAAATATTAAATTCTAGCCAAAAGAACAAAGCAAAATCAATAGCTAAAATTAAAACAGACTTCAGATGTGATAGTAAGAAACTAAAGGACACTGTCTTCGGAAAAAAAAAAAGAGCTTGAGGGAGTCTCTGGATTTAAAAAAAAAAATCTATCTCCATGAAGTTCTTAGATTTAAAAAAATCTATGAATTATATTCTGTGCAGTCATTAAAAACCATGGTTTATTTATTGACATGGAAAAGATATCCATGACAAACTGTGAAGTAGGTTACAAAACAGTATTTATATTTTTATCTCATTTTTGTAAAAATAAACATCAATGTGCTCACTTGCTCTCTCTCATGTACATATAAAAAAAAGAAAAAAAAAACTGGAAGAAAACTTATACAAATTGCTAAGAATGGTTTTCTCAGAGTAGACAGTAAAGAATGATTTTTACTTTCTTCTTGATACCTTTCTGTATTAAATATTATCTGACTTAGAAAAAAACCCATGTAATACACTTCTACTTAGAAAAAAGGCAACATATGGTAAAAATCAAAATCATAAAATTCATTTTTTTTTTTGGAGACAGAGTCTCACTCTGTCACCCTGGGTAGAATGCAGTGGCATCAGAGTAGCTCACTGCAACCTCAAAGTCCTGGGCTCAAGTGATCCTCCTACCTCAGCCTTCTGAGTAGCTGGAAGTACAGGCATGCACCACCAGACCCGGCTAATTTTTTCTGTTTTTGGTAGAGATGGAGTCTTGCTCTTACTCAGGCTGGTCTGAACTCTTGACCTTAAGCAATCCTCCCGCCTTGGCCTCCCAAAGTGCCAAGATTACAGGCATGAGCCACCCTGCCCAGCCAAAATTCATTTTCTTTAAATTCTTCTGCAAAGTACTCAAAAAGACCTCCTTTTACCTTAACAGCACCTCAGTTCTAGTTAAGATTAATTGAAGTTACTTCAAATGTCCTAAAAATTCTCAATTTCCTAGATTTTTTTTTTAAATTAAATGATTGGTCTTTGATAATGTGCAAGAGTACTATAAAGCCACTTCCTTTATTATAGCAGCTACAGTTTTCCTAAGTACTAAAGTTAATGCTTGATACCTGTATTTGGAACGCAGAGCTTCCCTGGGGGAAAAGGTTGGTTTTGTCCTATTTTCAATGCTAAGGCAAAATGTAGGATTTAGTAGAGTTGTTAAAAAAAAAAAAAAAAAAAAAAAAAAAAAAAAAAAAAGGCAGGACTTTTAGTTGACTATCAAACTTTTAACCTTATGCACGAATCCCAAGATAAGAGTTTTAGCATTCCAAATTTAACTCAAAACAAAAGCCTTTGCTTTGAGTCTACAAATGCTCCTTTCAGTTAGAAAAGTGCTAATTTGTCCAAAGTCATACAATGCATTCACTCATTTTCTTGAAGATGACTCACTCCATAATCTGAAATATAATGACTATGTGTTTGTAACAATTCAAAACAACTGTAAAATGGCTTGTCATTTGAACTCTGAATTAATTCAGAGGCGTCAGTTACATTTTCTGAATTTATATTTTATAAATGTAAAGCAGCTGAAGCTGCATATTTTAGCAAGAAAAGATTTAATTGCCAACTCTGCCTTCCTAACTGCTTCCTTCACGCCCTCTCAAGTCTCATGTGGTTAAAATTATTTTAATAGAGGTTCAAACCAAACTCCAGAACATTATCACTGAGAAAAAGATAAACTGAGTGATGTTAAGACCTCAGCTTTAGCTTTACCAAACAACACAAAGTTTGGAAGCTATCAGCAAATATCTATTGGGCATCCAGTATGTGCAAGTGACTGTTATAGGTGTTAGAAGAGTTGTATTCTAAGTGTGATTCCTTAACCAGCAGCATCAGCATCACTTGGAAACTGGTTAAAAATACAAATATCAGCCTGAGCAAGAGCAAGACCAGATCTCTACAAAAAATAGAAAAATTAGCAGGTGTGGTGGTACATGCCTGTAGCTCCAGCTACTCAGGAAGCTGAGGCAGGAAGATCGCTTGAGCCCAGGAGTTTGAGATTGAAGTGACATATGAGGAAGCCACTGAACTCCAGCCCAGCCTGAGTAAGAGACCAAGACCCTGTCTCAAAAAAAAAAAAAAAAAAATCACTGCTTCCCCTTCATCAATCAAACTCTACAGGTGAAGTCCAGCAATTGGTGGTTTGACAAAGCTCTCCGGGTGATTCAGATGTACTCTCAAGTCTGAGAATCACGGCTTTAGAATATTAATACTGTAGGAACTGTATCTTCCCTTTGTTCACTTTTAAAGAATTGTTTAAGAAAGAAGTATATCAAGATATACAGACAAGATCTACATAAATATATATGATGTTACTTTTGGTCAGGGTATAAAATTTTTTTAAACTAAAATAAAAATTAGGATATAAAATAATTATGAAAGGAATCTTTTAAGTTTCAAAGTAAGGTTCCCAAGAAATATTAGAGGCCATGTAAAGAAGGCAATAGAGGCAGCATTCCAGAGAAAGAAATGACAAAATTTAAACATAGAATGATTAAGTGAATGAAGAATCAGTGATTACCATGGAGCTCAGAGGCCTGATCATCAACTTTCCACAGTTAATCTTACATTCTACTCATTATCTCTCTTCCTGGATAGAAAGTAGAGATTAACTATTTAAAGTTAATGTATCTGTGGCTCCCACTTCATTTCCAAGTAACCACTCTACCCTATTAATAGAAGGACTCATTACCATGCACCTCTGTATTAGCTTCTGAGGAGTCTTTCTTTTTTTTTTTTTGAGACAGAGTCTCACTGTGTTGCCTGGGCTAGAGTGCCGTGGCGTCATCCTAGCTCACAGCAACCTCAAACTCCTGGGCTCAAGCGATCCTTCTGCCTCAGCCTCCCGAGTAGCTGGGACTACAGCAATGCGCCACCATGCCCGGCTAATTTTTCTATGTATTTTTAGTTGTCCAATTAATTTCTTTCTATTTTTAGTAGAGACGGGGTCTCGCTCTTGCTCAGGCTGGTTTCAAACTCCTGAGCTCAAACAATCCACCCACCTTGGCCTCCCAGAGAGCTAGGATTACAGGTGTGAGCCACCGCGCCCATCCCTGAGGAGTCTTTCTTAAATACTGTAGTTGTCCCATGTCATTCCTTGGCTCAAAAATCTGTAATGTTTCACAACTGCTTACTGAAAATGGAGAGGGACTATCTCTAATAAGTAGTCTAGAAGGTCAGGTAGGAAATGCAAACGAGTAAAGTAAGCCATGCGAGTACTAAATGGGTAGAAACGCTTTTCGACTTCCACAAAGAAATGCGCTCATCCTATTTTTGTTTTCCTACTTTTACTAGAGGTAGTACTATAAGCAAACTAACAAGGCAGGAATGATGACAAATGGTGACATTTGACTTTAGTGTCCAGAAGACAATAAGATACGTGGGGATTACGTTAAATTAAGAACCCATGCCACAACTTCCCCTACCCCAGTCTAGCCAAGTTTTGCCATGTGAGAATAAAGCCAGAAATTTTTGATTTTTGAAGACAAGCCCCAGGTCTGGATTTTTATATGAAATCACCCAACTTTAAAATTCTGGCTTATATTAAAAAAAACAAAAAAACAAAAAACAAAAAAGCACTGTGTGATCCAAACAAAACATGTCTCTCGCCTATGGGCTGCCAGTTTGAGAACTCCAGTTTAGAGCATTAAATCCGTATTTGCCTGCCCTTTTTTTTTTTTTTTTTTTGAGACAGAGTCTCGCTCTGTTGCCCTGGCTAGAGTGAGTGCTGTGGCGTCAGCCTACCTCACAGCAACCTCAAACTCCTGGGCTCAAGCAATCCTTCTGCCTCAGCTTCCTGAGTAGCTGGGACTACAGGCATGCGCCACCATGCCCGGCTAATTTTTTCTATATATTTTTAGTTGTCCGATTAATTTCTTTCTAATTTTAGTAGAGACGGGGTCTCGCTCTTGCTCAGGCTGGTTTCAAACTCCTGAGCTCAAACAATCCGCCCGCCTCGGCCTCCCAGAGTGCTAGGATTACAGGCGTGAGCCACCGCGCCGGGCCAGCCTGCCTTGTTTTTTGGTGTCTATCTTCCCTATAATAACAATAATCCTCATACTTATGTAGCACTTTATGCTCTTCAATGTTTTCATGTCCATTTGATCCTTTCAACTGTGAGTAGTAGTCAGGAGATGCGGCAAAGGGCACAGACAGGGTAAAGTAAATTGTCCAACATTATATTACGATTATAATACAATTGGTAAGAACCTAAGTCCAGATCTCCTGAGTCTGAGGCCAGTACCAATCCCTGGCCATCTCACTCCCTCCTTGTCTTTCCCTATGTGTGTTTTTGCTTATGTCCCCATCTAGAATGATTTCTTTCTGTCAATCCAAATGTCATCATTTTAAAAGACTCAGCTCAAGCTCCACTATCTATACAAACCTTCCTCAACTAGGTCAAATCCCCAAGTCTTCTCTTTTTCTGAACTTCAGTTGTTATTAGTCATAACTTACAAATTTGTGCTAATGGTCTTGAAGCATCAAATTATTTCATATCATTCCACATCAGTTTATATCCCCAATTAAATTCTAAGATCCTGGATAATGAGGACATGCCATTCATCTTTCCTGTTCCACATAGTTCCCAGCACTGTGTTGGGACATAAAAATGACAGTTTAACACTGGCTATCTTAGACAGTCTTTTGAGAAGGAAAATGATGATGATACCACTAACTTACCAGCCTGATATTGTCTTCTGGGCGGAGTAATATGAACATCGCTTGGAGATGCTGTTGGAGATCGCCTGGTAAAATTTACAAAGCAAAGGATAATTATTGTCCATTCTAATATCAACAGAGAGGATTCCTTCTACCGTAGTGACTTTTGTAAAAGTAAGTTCTGTAAAAGAAAGTTCTGATTCACTGAAGGACTCTAATTAAAAACAGAAATTAAATAATGATTATTGACTTATTTTTAAATGGAAAGAGAGAATGGTAGACTGCCTCTTTATGCATTCAATTTTAGTCTATACTACATTAAAATTCCTGTCCTACGGAAGGTACACTTGAGACCAATCTCAGTTTTACTATGGTGGAGGCTGACAAGAGATCTGTTGGGCAGAGGCAACACTAGCTGTGCTTTCAGGCCCACTGAAGGTAGCAATGAAGGAATTTTGAAAATGAAGTGTGCAGTTAGAAGAATTATCTATAATTTTTAAAAAGCTAACCATTTTGTCATTCCTATTTTTATAATAATAATCTTCTGTTGCACTTCACCTAAGATTTTTAGATTCCTCCCAGAACAATGTCAATAGTTTAAAATGATTTCCACATCAGTGGCTGATATAAAAATGAGAGTATATATTAAATATAGCATATAACGGATATATATTCTCTTGAACATATGATTACGTGCTTTAAAATGGCTGATTATCTGAATCTTCACTTGTTCTTACAAAGAAATATTTTATAAAACAAAGTTGAAATTTCTGTGTATTAAACTATTATAGATTTCCTCAGATTCTCTATTCCATACTAGGAAATCTGAGGCATTGGCTAGCTGGAGACATTAGATAATATGCTGTCATAAATGAAGATAATCTGAGAACAAAAAAACTTCATTTTTATTTTATTTTATTTCAGCATATTATGGGGGTACACATGTTTAGGTTACGTATGTTGCCCTTGCCCCCCCCCGCCAAGTCTGAGTTTCAAATATGTCCATCCTTCGGGTGGTACGCATTGCACTCTTTGTGTATGCATATACCCGTCCCCTCCTAAAAACTTCATTTTTTCCCACCCAGGTCCAGCCCTTTTTAAGATTCTAAGGTGACTGACACGGCCACATAATCATGAATGTCAGTATTTACATTGGCCTTGGAATCTACATGTATAATTTTCTTCCAGTTAACGTCACAGCTGTTAATTATGAGATGAAATACTGATGTGGGCAAGAAGTAGAGAGAATTACGAAGAAAAAAGTAGGTTGTCAAACAGGTGTGTTTGTCTAAAAGGTCAGCAAGTCTGAAAGCCTTTCCTTTTATTCTCCCTTCCTTCTCTTAAAGAATAGTTTTCTTGCCTTTTATTTCACTGCTGGCTTCTGACCAGTGTCATTATTGCAGAATCTTTCAACTTTCAAAATTAAAAAGGATAGTCATTATGTTTGGCCAGATCCATTCTACTACATTTCAAACCCAGAGACACAATCTAAGTCTCAAGTGCAAGAACAAGTGTGGTTCTCTTTACTATTGACTGAGAAAAAGAAAAAGAAAAAAGAACCAATGTGGGCTCTTTAGTGTAAACCCAAGAGAAACAAAAACATTTATTCATATAAAATCTTGTACACAAAGTTCATACAGCATTATTCATAATAGTCAAAAAGTGAAAACTCAAATGTCTACCAACTGATAAGTAGATAAATAAAATGTGGTATATCTACACAAGGTAATATTATTTAATAGTAAAAAGGAATTCACTACTGATACATTGGATGACCTTTGAAACCATGCTAACTAAAAGGAGACTGTCTCAAAAATCCACTTATATGGAATGTCCAGAATAGGCAAATCTACAGACACAGAAAGTAGATTAGCAGTTGCTTAGGGATGCGGGAGATGATGAAGAAAACAGGGAGTGACTGCTAATGGGTATCAGGTTTCTTTTTGGAGTGATAAAAATGTTCTAAAATTAGATTGTGGTGATGGTTGTACAACTCTGTGAACATACTAAAGCCACTGAATGTACACTTATTTACTTATTTTTAGAGACAGGGTCTCACTCTGTCACCCAGGCTGAAATGCAGTGGCAAGACCATAGCTTACTGTAACCTTGAACTCTTGGACTCAAGCAATCCTCCCACCTCAGTCTCCCAAGCAGCTAGGACTATAGACATGCACCACCATGTCTGGCTAATTTTTTTATTTTTTATTTTTGTAGAGAATGGGGTCTTGTTGTGTTGCCCAGCTTGGTCTCATACTCTTGGCCTCAAGTGATCTCCCTGCCTTGGCCTCTCAAAGTGCTGGCATTACAGGTGTGAGCCACCACACCCAGCCCTGACTGTATACTTTAAATGAGTAAACTGGGTGAATTATATGGTTTGTGAATTATATATCAATAAAGCTGTTAAAAAAATAAAAGAACAAGTGTGAGGACACAAAGTGTTAGGTATAAACAACAAAAAGTTACTAGAGTTCCAAGTTACAATTGAGTTAAGCAGCTGAGGCTTTTTTAATAACTAAGTTTCCTTCTGTGCTATCAGGAGAAATAACCTGAGGAAAGGATCTTCAGGATGGATAACTTCTGGAGGAGAAACCTAAATAGTAGCCCAAACACTAAGAGCCCAAGGATCCAGATGGCTTATTTGAAGGTTAGACAAAAGTCAGGAGCCCTATTCTTACAGTAAGGCTTATGTGAGTTGGGCATGTGGAAGCTCAGGTTTGCCTGCTGTGAAAGGTACTGCTATGAGCAAACTGGGTATTACTTGTGGGAAACTGTTCTTCACAGAGTCTAACAGAGGCAATAATACCATTAAGATCTCTCCCCTACATTTTCCCATACATTTTACTGCTAGTAGCTAAATTTCAGTTTGATTTTAAAGACTTTTCATTGTTTCCCTTTAAAATATTGGCAGATACTCACTCATATCACTTTTTGGTTGCAAAATAGTATCTGGATATTTTAAATGTAGCCCAGATAAAAAAAATTCTAACCAGTTTGAGAAACATGCATAAGGAAGTATAATCAGACATAGTAATAAGCCCTTGATCTGCTCTCAATTCTGCCATCAACTTTCAGTCACTGTGAGCTTAGCCAAAGCAGCTTCAGTTTATGTGACAGTCTGGCTTCTGTGAGCTGCGTTTATACTCACACTGCCTCATCCATTCCAGTCTGGATCACAAATCAAGCCCATTCAGCTTGTGTTAAATCTGCTTTTCTTTTTAGTATGAGGAAAGCTAAGTGAACAATGTCAAGCAGAAACCTGGGTGGCAGTTGAGTGTGGAAGTTTGACTAAAGGAAAAGGCCAACCAGGGCCAGGAGCTTTAAATGCCACTGACCCCCACTTACTATATTACATGCCATAGAGCAATTTGCCCAACATCTTAGACAAATCGGATTTAAACCAATAATTTGTCTTCTTTTTACTGTAAGAGATAAATATCCACACTAAACAGAAATACAAAGCTTAGCTGGGCCTACTTCCTCTGTGCATTCAAGTTTTTTGGGGACATGCCCCCCACGAACCGCTGGTTGTAGGCATTGATAAGGAAGGTTTTACAAAGAGTAACCCAAGCTAATTTCCAAAAGAAGTACCCTCCTCCATTATTTTTTTAAAAAATCTTCCACGGCTAGAGAGTTTTGATAGGGCAATACAATCCAACAACGTGGATTATAATTCTAAGCTGCTATATTTGCAACTAAATGAAGGTCCAAACAAGAAGTGGGGCAGCCACTAATATAGCTGAGATTACTCTGACTGTAGCTAAACTCAACTGCTGGCTCAATGAGATTCAGTATTTCTGGCTTTCACCTCCGGCCTACACACTCAAGGTTTGCAGTCTTCTTTGTTCTCTTCCTAGTAACTGCAATTTCTTCTGCTCCTGGAGGTCATAAGTCATCAAAGTGGCACATTTATGACAAGCAACCACCTCTTTGTATAGCATTCATCATGACTATTGTGTCCTCAGGCTGACTTTTATTTTTTCCCCAAAATGACACAAACAAGGCTTGATCATAGTAGAAGCAAAGCATCAGGCTGATTATCTTCCTAAACTGTGGACATCCTATATCTGGAGACCTCTCTCCCAAGACACATTTTCTATGACTCTTTTTTAACCTCATCACCACAGATGTGCCTGATTTTAGAGAAATCCAATATATGGAAATATTATGCATACACTTTCAGCAGATTATTTCGAAATCAGAGTCTTATACTCATTCCTAGGTGAACATTTATGTGATGACTTCTTGTTTACAGAAGTCTTCTGGGTTAAATTTCTAGTGTGTGTGCTTTCAAGAAGTAGACCCTGGCATTTAAGAACTGGCATTTTATATGTGATGTAATGACTCTCATTATCACAACGATGACAATGAGTTTGTTTATTTTAATAATAGTTTATACCATTCTCCTCATACGATCACTAGAGAGAAGAAAGAAAAAATTTAAGCTTTGATTAGTTGAAATGATTTTGCATAGGACCGAAGGGAACAATCTTTTAGCTATCAAAACCTTACTTTTAGCTACTAAAATCGAACTGAACAATCTTTTAGCTATCAAAACCTTAACTGAGAAGGCACATATGACTTCATTAGAGTTATTTTTGTACCTTCTTATTATTTGACAAAAATTTATTGAACATCTGCTACTGCTATGTGTATAAGGCATTTTGCTAAGTGATAAAAAAAATTGTGAGGATGAAAGAAGAGTGATTATACCACACAATAATGCTTTTTTTCAATATTAAAGAATTGCTGGAGAAATGGGGACGACGTAGTCAGCCTTTTAGAACAAAATGAAAGACAAGGTTACCAAGAAAGGAATAGTGTATATGTTGCTTTACCTGCATGCTTGTTGCGCCTGTGGCTGATTCTTGGTGTCGATGAGCCATTTCCCCGTGGTAGAAAAAGGGCAGCACCTTTCACAGTTAGAAAGCTCTCGCTGATGCTACAAAGAAAAATCCAAAAGAAAATAAATTATTTAGGGAAGAATATCAAAGAGTAGGATGGAGAGCCACTATAGGATTATTCTCTCTTCCCTATTCCAAAATCCCAACTTCATGGGATGAGGCAAAAACAAAATCAAGAGATTGTGGTTACTCACTCACACAGCCTTGTCTACTCTGTTTTCTGAAACAAAACTTATGACATTCTATATATATTACATGGTAGCAGTTAAGAGGGGAGGCTGTGGAACCAGACTGCCTGGGTTTGAATCCTGGCTCTGCTACTTCTTATCTAAATGAACCATTTTGGGTCTAATTTCCTCATCTGTAAAACAGGGATAAATACAATAAAGTTGTGAAAAGCCAATGAGTACATAGTTTCTTCAAGTGGTGCCTGGTACATAGTGATAAGCCCTTAATAAATATTAGTTATTATTAGATCCGTGGTTATCAATAATGGTGTTTCAACAGTGTCCTGATTAGATGTGAAGTATATTACAATAGTTACTAATAATAGATCCAAAGTTTGCAAAAAAGATTTATGTTTAAAATACACACCACAATAAAATGTTAGCTCCAAATTTTACTGTCACCAACTTGCCCCACCACACACATTGAAAAGGAGTAGTGCACAGAAATGCATTTAACCCACTGGAGTTTGCCCTCCATGTTAATATCATTCATGAGGGTGATAATACAGGTGGAGAATTACTGCTCAGGACAGAGGGTACTCAAAATACAATTAACAGTGGATAGCCACAAAATAAACAGAAAATATATCTAAATTATTTCAAATCAACGGACTAATTAATAAGCCTTCCAATTTCACCCACAGAATCTGAAAAGCATAGAACTCTTAAGTCACTAGTGGCAAAGTTTAGAAATGCATAAAGGAGGGTTTCAAGTTTGCCTGTGAGAATGGTAACCACTATTGAGGGTTAGCTAATGTATTGTAAATGACACTGCCTACTCATTATTTCCACTTGGAAATCTAATTGGCATCTTATTCATTATCATTATTATTAGTATTTTATAAAATAGAGACAGGGTCTCACTCTTGCTCAAGCTGATCTAGAACCCCTGAGCTCAAGCGACCCTCCCACTTTGGCCTCCTAGAGTGCTAGGATTACAGACATGAACCACCGCACCCAGCCTAACTGGCATCTTAAATTTACACTGCCAAAACTAAACTCTTGAGTTTCCCCCCAACCTGATCCCTAGCATCAACTTCCCAGTTGTTTGACTAAAATACATAATAGTCGTTCCCTCCTACAATGTATATCTAATTCATCAGCAAATCCTATGAGCTTTACTTTCAAATATATCTTAAATCTGCCCACTTATCCCCATCACCACTATCACACTGGTCCACGGCACTATCATTTCTCACTTGAACTGCTATTAAAAAGCTTTTCTTAAAAAAGCCTTTATTATAGAAAATTTCAGACATATACAAAAGTAGAGGGAATAATATAACTCCCATGTTCTCATCACATTCCAGCTTTAATTAATGGCGAATTTTGTTTCTTCTACATCCTCACACCCTTCACCTTGCCCCGGAAGTGAAACAAATCCCAGACACTGTATCAGCAAAAAGCCTCTTAAAAGGTCTGCTGCAACCACTCTGCCCCCCTATCATCCACTCAGCAAACAGCAATCAAAGTGATTTAAAATACATATAGATCATACAATGTCACTTTCTGCTTAAAACTCTCCAAGGGCTTCCCTTTGTACTGATAAATAAAAAGCCAGTCTTTAGCTTGGTCTTCGAGGCCCTGTAACATACTGTAGCAAGCTACTTATCTGCTCTTACACCACATCTCCTCTTTGTTTACGTGATCTAGTCGCACTGTCCCACTGTCCTCCTTTCTGTTTCTTCAATATTTCAGGCCCCGTTCTCAGGGCTTTTGTGCCTTTTGTTCGCTACTTGAAACCCTTTTCTCCTGGCCTGTCACTATTTAAGGCTCTGCTCCAATATCACTGTTCCTTCCTCATCCCAATTATACTCTACCCTGTTGTTCTGTTTCCTTCAGGCTATTATCATAAACAAAAATTATATTTACTTATATACTTGATTGTGGTTATCTCTCTATAATAGAATATAAGCTCCATTAGAGCAAGGACTTTATTTTGTCCATTACTATAACCTCAGCACTGGAAATAGTGCCAGGCACATATTTATTAGATGCTCAAAAGATACGTGATGGATGAATGAATTTATCCCAGAGTTTCCACACTGTTATGTCTGTCTCATCAATGCTGCAGGAATTGTAATTTAGGACAAGTCTTACATGTGGAAAATAATCATTACAGAACTCTATAAGAGGCAGATGAATGGACTTTAAAAAAAAATGTTTGATGATAAATTAATTGGCAAATGTAATTAAATCACCTCAATAATGATATCAGACATTGACTCAATTTTATCCTTTAATATAATGGTATGAAGCTCATAAAACCTTTGAGGTAACTTGCTAAATAGATTGAAACGTTGTCTTCTAAAAACAAAAAATCCAGGGATGCCACTTTAAAAATTTGCATGCTGGCTGGGAGGGGCCGCCTTGATTTTGTTTTGTTTTCATCTTTAAATAAAGCATTGCTCTCTTGTGGTCTGTTGCACAAGCCTTGTCTCTTGTTACATCCGTGATGTGTACATGCCATCCTGCTGTGGGTCACTCTGTTTCACTCACATTACAGGAACAACCTAAAACAAAACGTCTGAGTGACAGGATGAGTGGGGTATACCACAGACAGGAAATGAAATTCACACTTCTGCCAACACAGCAACTGTCTGCTTTACTAAATGAAAATATTTTTAAAATAAAGGCTAAATATTCTACCTATTCACCAGGCAAAGTAACAGCTTTGGGCACTTTGGTTTCCAGTAAACAAAGCAGTTCTCTCCATCTACAAAAGAATTATATTTGCCCAGTACTTAAAACTACTGAGCATACTTCCGTCATTCCTTTTGTCAGATAGAGGTAGTTTTTCTTTGACAAACCCTATTTTAAAAACTGTCTTGTTTTTGGAGTTCTGTAATATTGTTCTTAGATACATTTGCTGCTTATGCTTTAAAGCAAGAATGTATTTAGATATGTTTTAAAGCATATCTAAATGTGTTCTTTAAAATGTATGCAGTGCTTTCACAAGGTGAGGATTGGAGAGGCAGACAAGAGCCTTTGGTTAATTCAAAGCTGCCTGGACTCCAAAAATTTATAAAATTTTAAGATTTATAAGAGAAAGATCAGGAGTCAAAGTCACATATGGTATAAGGGAAAAGAGGTCTTTCTATGTGAATCATTTACACAAATCTCGGTGAACTTTTCTGATGAAACAGAATGCACAGCAGACCCAGCTGAGCGAGGAGACTACTGCTAGGTACCATAGGCTCCCAGAGAATCACGGCAGGTACTTTGGACGATAGAATCAATCTCCTTTATTCTGAGGCCCCAGATTACAGCCCCTCCGTTATCATCAAAGTGACATATTGTCGGTCACCAGGGGACCAGGAATGAGTGTGGCTGATTACCAAAATCTCTTATCATCACTGGAAAAAATTCAAAGCTCTATAAATGCTATCAAATGTAGCATGGAAGTGGGGCTGGGCACGGTGGCTCACGCCTGTAATCCTAGCACTTTGGGAGGCTGAGGTGGGAGGATTGCTTTGAGGTCAGGAGTTTGAGACCAGCCTGAGCAATAGTGAAACCTCGTCTCTACCAAGAAATAGAAAAATTGGCTGGGTGTGGTAATGTGTGCCTATAGCCCCAGCTGTTTGGGAGGCTGAAGCAGAAGGATTGTTTGAGCCCAGGAGTTTGAGGTTGCTGTGAGCTATGAAGATGTCACTGCACGCTAGCCAGGGCAACAGGCTGCTGTCTCCTATCTGCAAAAAAAAAAAAAAAGGTAGGCCGGGCACGGTAGCTCACACCTGTAATCCTAGCACTCTGGGAGGCCGAGGCGGGCGGATCGTTCTGAGCTCAGGAGTTCGAGACCAGCCTGAGCAAGAGCGAGACCCCCGTCTCTACTAAAAATAGAAAAGAAAAAAAAATTAGCCGGGCATGGTGGCGCGTGCCTGTAGTCCCAGCTACCTGGGAGGCTGAGGCATGAGGATCCCTTGAGCCCAGGAGTTTGAGGTTGCTGTGAGCTAGGCTGACACCACGGTACTTGCCCCAGGCAAGAGAGTGAGACTCTGTCTCAAAAAAAAAAAAAAAAAAAAAAAAGGTAGCACGGAAGTAAAAAAATAAAATTCACAACCACCACCAGAGTTTAAGTAGATCAAATTCAACTTGAAAATCAAATGCTTTATTTGCATATGAAGAAAATTATATGTAAATTTAATCACATGTATTTGAGCATAACATAAAGTTTAGTGTATCCTGTAAGAATAGTAACAGATTTATTTATGTAAATATCAGTCTTTCTGAAACAGCTGCCTGAAGATTCAATGGACATGGAGTTGGTCTCCAATAAAAAATCTGTTCTTTAGAAAGGCAAGTGAAAACTTTTTCAGGTTTTTCTGAATTGATTAGTTCTTTAGAGTCTGGCCCATAAACAGGACTTCTCCAGTAAACTCTACAGAGCCATTTGTATGTGACTACAGATGCCTAAGTTAAATACAACCCCAAAGGACTTAGGAACCCCTATATTAAGGGAGAAATGAGATAAAGAGAATACCACCCTCTGATCTAAAGAGGGAGAATTAGCCGCTTGATAAGAAAATGACATAGAAAGAAAAAAAAAAGAAAATGACACAGAGGATCACCTTTCTAACAGAGAGTAACAGTGAAGTTCTCCAGAGTTACTATCAAAATACAGCTGAAAACCATCTATTCCTCTCTTTGTCATAAGATCACTTGCTTAACCTTAACAAGGACAAAGTAATCCCTGGTTAGATATATGGAATGAGCTAATAATAGCTAACCTGACTAGAAGTCTAGATGTCTTCTGTATGCTAGACACTGAGCTAACCAAGCATTTTACATAACTTCATTTAAATTTTATAAAA